TTGGAGGTTAGTAGTCAGTGGTCACAGCCAGTCAGTCCTTGCAGCTGATGAGCTTGATGTGCCAACAGCAATTAAAGCTCAACTACAACAGGAGAGTGTATAGCTCACACTGGGGCATAGCTCTAGTACCTAGGTTGGGTGATCAGGGAGGCTATGCCACTGGACCCTACAGGGCACCTACCACATTAGGCCATACTACTAAGCCTGGTACTCTTAGAGGTTCTACCTAATACATAGAAACAAACATTGGGAGGCTGCTGAAATGAGGTGACAAAGAAATACGGCCCAAATAAAAAAACAGAACAAAACTCCAAAAGAATAAAAGAACTAAATAAAATGGAGACAACTATCTACTAGATGCAGAGTTCAAAACACCGGTTATAAGGATGCTCAATGAACTTAGTGAGAACTTCAACAGCATAAAAAAGAGTCAGAAATAAAGGATACACTAACTGAAATAGAGAATAATTTACAGGAAATCAACAGTGGTGTAGATGAGGCAGAGAATCAAACAAGCTATTTGAAATATAAGGAAGCAAAAACAGCTAATCAGAATAGCAAAAAGAAAAAAGAATCCAAAAAAATGAGGATAGTGTAAGGAGCCTTGGGACAACTTCAAGTGTACCAACATCCAAACCATGGGAGCGCCAGAAGAAGAAGAAGAAAGCAAGAATTTGAATATCTATTTGAAAAAATAATGACAGAAGATTTCCCTAACTTGGTGAAGGAAATAGACATACAAGTTCAGGAAGCACAGACAGTCCCAAACAAGATGAACCCCAAGAGGTCCACACCAAGACACATCATAATTAAAATGCAAAAGATTAAAGACAGTCCTGGCCGGTTTGGCTCAGAAGTTAGAGTGTCGGCCTGCAGACCAAAAAGTCCCAGGTTCGATTCCAGCCAAGGGCACATACCTCAGTTATGGTTAGTCCCTGCAGTCATATGGGTGGCAACCATTTGATGTACCTCTTTCACATCGATGTTTCTTTTTCTTTCTCTTCCTCCCACTCTGTCTGAAGATAAATGTAAAAATATCCTTGGGTGAGGATTAAAATAAATATATAAATAAATAAAAATAAATATCTTTGCACTTGACAGAATCCTGAAATATTAAAAAAAAAAAAAGATTAAAGACAAACATAGAATCTTTTTTTTTTTATACTCACCCGAGGACATTTTTATATTTATCTTCAGATAAAGTGGAAGGGAGAGAGGGAGGAAGAGAGAGAGAGAAACATTGATGTGAAAGAGACACACTCAATGGTTGTCACCCACACAATCCCAATAGGGGCTAGGGACTAACCGCAACTGAGGTACATGTCCTTAGCAGGAACCAAACCCAGGACTCTCTGGTCCGCGTGGCGATGCTCTAACTGCTGAGCCAAACCGGCCAGGGTCAAACATAGAATCTTAAAAGCAGCAAGAGAAAAGCAGTTAGTTACCTACAAGGAACTGTCAGCTGATATCTCGAAAAAACAACAACAACAACAACAAAAAAACTTTGCATGCCAAAAGGGAGTGGCAAGAAGTATTCACAATGATAAAAAGCAAGGAACTACAACCAAGATTATTCTGCCCTGCAAAGGTATCATTTGGAATTGAAGGACAGATAAAGAGCTTCCCAGACAAGAAAAAGTTAAGGAGTTCATCACCAACAAACCAGTATTATATGAAATGTTAAAGGATCTTCTTTAGAAGAAGATAAAAAATATGAACAATAAAATGGCAAGAAATACATATCTATCAATAATTGAATCTAAAACCAAAATAAATGAACAAGCAGAACAGAAACAGACATGAGTCACAGAATATTTTGATGGTTGCCAGATGGAAGGGTGGTTGGGGAATGGGCAAACAAGGTGAAGGAATTAAGAATTACAAATTGGCCCTAGCCGGTTTGGCTTAGTGGTTAGAGCGTCGGCCTGCGGTCGAGAGAGACCCGGTTTTGGTTCCTGCTAAGGGTATGTAACTCGGTTGCAGTTTGTCCCCCGGCCTGGTTGGTTGTGCAGGTGGCAGCCACTCTATGTGTCCCTTTCACGTCGATGTTTCTCTCTCTTCCTCTCTCTCCCTCCTCCTCTATCTGAACAAAAAATGGAAAAATGTCCTTGGGTGAGGATAAAAAAAAAGAATTACAAATTGGTTGCTACAGAATAGTCATGGGGCTATAGTCCATAATATTCTAATTGCTAAGTATGGTGTCAGATGGGTATGAGATTCATTGGGATGATCACTTATTAAGTTATGTATTGTCTAATTACTGGGGTGTGCACCTGAAACTAATGTAATAATGGATGTCAACTGTAATTGAAAATAAAAAAAACGATAAAATGTTAAAAATAAATAAAGGTAAACCTGGCAGTGTGGCTCAGTGGTTGAGCATTGACACATGCACCAGGAGGTCGCTGGTTGGAGTCCTGGTCAAGGCACAGGCCCAGGTTGTGGGCCAAGTCCCCAGTGGGGGGCATGTAGGAGGTGGCCGATCAATGTTCTCTCTCATTGATATTTCTATCTCTCTCCCTCCCTTCCTCTCTCTCTAAAAAAATCAATAAAGAAAAAATAATTAAACAAATAAATAAAGGTAAAAAAAGAATAAAAGCCTAGCTAAATATTAGACTATATCTTAGCAAGTATAAAATTCTTGACTGAGCCCTGGCCAGTTTGGCTCAGCAGTTGGAGCGTTGGCCCTTGGACCAAAGAGTCATGGGTTTGATTCTGGTCAAGGGCACATTCCTCAGTTGCAGTTTGATCCCCAGCCTTGGTTGGGGTCCTTCAGGAGGCAACCAATAGATGTGTTTCTCTAATACATCTATTAGAGAAACACATAGATGTGTGTCCCCCCCCCCACCCCATGTGAAAATCAATGGAAAAATATCCTCTGGTAAAGATTTAAAAAAAAAAAATTCTTGGGTGAGAGAAAACACAATTAAACATGTGAAAGCAATTGTTAATATACTGTGTTGATGTAAAATGCAAGGTTGCACTATTAAGAATCTAACATCTTGGTTGGCCTTTACTTGAGTCAACTTACTTTACAAAGTCAATGCTTAGCATAACTTGTGCAGTGGCTATAATTTTTCTAACATTTTAAAAATCAATTCATGTGATCAATTTAACTGATTAACAAGGTAAGAAGGAAACCAGAAATGATCCCAGAGAGAGAAGAAAGAGTTGGAGAAGCAGCAATACTTAAGTGTCCTTAATTGAGCAGTTGCAGTTGAGTAACATTGGCACTAGCACATCAAAAATTTTCAGGATGAAAATGTTTGAAATTACTAGAAATTTGGCTGGCCTATTTTGAGCAAATACTTTGCTAGTTTCTAAAATTAGCTCTAATTGGCCTTTGGGACTCCATACTGGAATTTTCCTGTTTTATTTACATGAAAAAATTGAGAACATTTTATTTCACTATATAATTCACTGTTACATTTTACCTCCCCCCCTCTTCCCACGTGATTATTCCCTGCTTCCTTGACTTTAAGGAAAAGCAACAGTATGCTTACAATGCATTCATGCTGGGCTGTGAAACAATGATTTTAAATCCTACACATCATAATGTCATTAAAGTTACAACAGCCAGAAAACACTCTTACAGTCCTCTTATTTTCGTTTCAAAGTAGCATTTTGTCAGTGGGACTGAATTATGTTGTGGATGGGTAGGTGGGGGTTATCAATGGGCAAGGTGCTTGTAGAAGGTTGCATGGTCTGGAGTCTACTTACCACCCTGACTCTGCAAGAAGGCAAGACACAAATCATTCAGTACCGTTCTGCTCAAATCATCCACTCTAGTTTGAAATGTTTTCAATTTACAATACAAAATACAGGTTGCTCTTAATCTATGTCCTAATCTGTCCTAATCCCCGACCGATTAAAAAAGACTAAAACAACACGGAATCCCAAATTCAGTTAGTACACCCAGGCACACTAGAACGTAAAGTGAGACTACCTCATCATAACTACCCGGTTTCAGCAGCATCCCTACCCTCACTTCCTCCAGCCCCACCTCCAGGCCTGCCAGCTAGACTTCCTCGCTCCGCCCCTTTCCTCACAGCTAATGGGGTGCGCCCACACCACAGGTCCGCAACTGCCAGGAGCCGCCTCTCCATCGCCCGAGATGGAGCTTGAAGCTGGGCGTCTACCCTCCCACTTTTTCTTTCTTTCTTTTTTCCGGGCCCCGCGCATGCGCACTCTCACTGGGCCCTGGTCTGCCGCTTAAGGGTCGAGTTCCCTCTCCTATCTTTCCCGGGTCGCGCGATTCTCCGAAACCCTTCCCACCCTCCTGTTTTTGAGGATATCTCTCTCCTAGTCACTCAGAGAAAGTGCGACTACGGCCTTGGGTGCGTCAGTACCCGGATGTGGAGCCGCGCTCGCCCGGACGGGACTCTGCGGCTGGGCGGAGCGCGGAGGCGTGCGTGGGGGCTGAGAGAAGGGGGCCGCTGGGCAGGGGCGTTCGCGGGACGCCGCGAGGTACCACCGCTGCCCAGGGGGAGGAGGCGGCCCCAGCTCTCAGGGGCCCACCCCAGAGCGAGGGTCCGGGAGAGAAAAAAGGCCGGCAGTTAAACTTGCCCCCAGCCGCCCTCGACGTCCCCCCCCCGGGGTAGCTTCCCTCAGCTCCCTGCGCGCCCCGTGCTCCCCGCGCTCCCGGCCGGGGGAGAGCGTGGTTTCCTGGCGGCCGTCGCTGTAGCCCGGCCAGTGAGCCCGGAGGAAGCGGAGGAGTCCCCGCCCCCGGCCCCCGCCCCTCTATCCTCCCGCCGCCGCCGCCGCTGCCGCCTCCGAGCCGCTGTGGTCCGGCCTCCAGTCTGAGCGGGGGGCGCGCCGGCGGCGGCGGCGACAGCTGGGGAGTGGCTGTGGCTGTGGGTTAGGCGGGGATCGCGTCGCCGTCCCCGTGAGTTATTCCCACGTCCCCCGGGGCTCGCTGCCGCCCCCGCCGGCGCCGAGAGGCCGGCCTGGGCCCAACTCCCTCACGGGCCCCCCGGCGGCGGCGGCGGCGGCAGCGGCGGAGCCCACCGCTCGGGCCCCGATGAGTAACTCCCGGAATAACCGGGTGATGGTGGAAGGGGTCGGGGCCCGGGTAGTCCGCGGCCCAGACTGGAAGTGGGGGAAGCAGGACGGCGGCGAGGGCCATGTGGGTACGGTCCGGAGCTTCGAGAGCCCCGAGGAGGTGGTGGTGGTGTGGGACAACGGCACCGCCGCCAACTACCGCTGCTCTGGGGCCTACGATCTGCGCATCCTGGACAGCGCGCCCACGGGTAAGCCACGGCCCCCGGCGCGGGCCTGCGGGCTTGGGGGGACGGGGCGCGGCTGCGGTGGGCGTCCGGCGGCCCGCCTGGGAGAAGGCCTCGGTGGAACGCCCGCCCTCAGCGCCCGGCTGCAGTGAAAGGAAAGGGAAAGACCCAAAGGGAATTTTAGTTCAATATCTGACAAACAAAAAGTTGTAGAAAAAGACTTCTCTCCCCCATCACTAAGGGAAATGATGGGCAACACCCTCATCATGCTTTCAAGCCTGGAGGGCACAAAGCACAGGCAAGACAACAGACCGTTCTCTTCCTCCCCCTTCTCCAGGGATGGGGTCTGGAGAAGCCTGTCTAATAAGCATTGAAATTAATCAGACACCAAGTGATAACTGTCTGAAGGGAGGCTTGCCTCGCCAGATGGTGTTTAGTTGACCGGTTACAATTGCCGAGGGGCCCTTAGTACCACAGATTTGTTGAGATCGCTGCAAACACAGCCCCCCCCCCCCCCCCCAGTTCAGTAGCTGAATGCTGCTTGGGACCCTGTGGAATGATTTTTTTAATCTAAATTGTTTCATTTTATATCGTTATACCAAGAGAGGAAACATTCTAAGCTGTTGAATCATTTATTTTTGTTAAATACTTTTTCCGAGTGGAAGACAAGCATAGGAAACACCTGATATATATTTTTGTTAACATCTCATTTCATATGTAAGGTTTTGTCAGAGATAGTAATACAGCAATGAGTCAGTGTCCTTGATTCACAAAATTTAAGGAATCTGTTTGTTATTGACTCTAGAATTTTTATATAATATAAAGGTGTGATTTATTTTAATCACTTTCATTGTCATATAGATTTATCCTTATTTGTTTATTCAGTAGAAAATAGTTCAAATTTAAAATTTGATATTTTTAGAATGCACAAATAAGGCACTTCTGACAAAGTCTTAACATCCCGAAGTGGGTACATAGTTATTGTTAGCAGCAATAAAAAGAGAGATGAATACAAGCCAACTCAGTTTTTGAATAGATAATTCATAAAATTGTGTTTCCTAGCTGGCTTTTTAAACATTGAAAAAGATGTATGTGCAGTACCAGAAGAACGTATTCAACCCCACCGGTGTGGCTCACTGGTTGAGATTTGACCCATGCACCAAGAGGTCGCTGCTGGTTCAATTCCCGGTCAGGACACATGCCCAGGTTGTGGGCCCATCCCCAGTGGGGGGCATGCAGAAGGCGACCAGTCGATGTTCTCTCATTGATGTTTCTATCTCTCTCTCCTTCTCCCTAAAATCAGTAAAGAAAAAATATTTTAAAAAAGCAAATATTCAATAGTACAAAAAGGGGCAGCCATTGTTAGCAGTTTCTTGTGTATAGTTACACACTACTCTATTCATTGCAAGTATATATATTTTAATATGCTGTAAATCTTTAAGCAAGAATGATAATTATTTCCTACTCTTTTGTTTCTTAACTTAATACAAATTGGTGATTGTTCCATGTTGGCACCTTATTTCTTCATAGCTGCATAATATTCCTGTGACTGGATGCAGTATTTTATTTAACCATTGCTTTTCTGATGGACACTTATATTGTTTCAGGTCTTCTTATTTACAAAGATGCAGTGAATAAATCCTTGTATGTGTATCCTTGTTCATTTGTGCTGAGTACATCTGAAGTGGAATTGCATCAAAGGCTACACATTTAACATTTGATAGATATCTCCTAAGACATTTTGCCCTCCGAAGACATTTTACCAATTTATACTCCTAGCAACACTGTATGAGGCCTCTACATGTTTCTGTACATTCTTAAAATTTTATCATGCTAGATCAAGCTAAAGTTTGATCACAATAATTTGGAGGCATCATGGAATAAGTAATTATAGATTTATAGGGAAATTTAAATATCTTTCCAGGGTAAAGGTAAAGTGTAACAAATCCTGTACTACAGGGATTTGTTAAATGGATATTAATGTTGTGTATTATGGAGTATATCTGTCCTATATATAGTTTCATTATATAAAGCAGGTGTTTTTCAGAGGTAACTGTTTTAAAATCTTAGTTTAATTTACAAGATTATTCTACACTTTATTTAATTTGTTGTATGTAGTAATTCATCTTATTCAACTGATTCTCTTAGCAAACTATTTAAAAACACTCCTAGATGCAGGGGCAGCTAACCTTTTTATGAAATGCTGGAACAAATCACAAACTTGGCTCTGATTTTGCTCCAGGATTGTAATGCCACTTTCTGTGTGTTTGTCTGTTTGTTTGTTTATTTTTAATCTTCACCCTAGGATATTTCTTACATTTTTCTTCAGCTAGAGTGAGAGGGGAGGGGAGAGAGAGAGAGAGAGAGAGAGAAACATTGATGTGAGAGAGACACATTGATTGGTTGCCACCTGAATGACCCCAACCGGGGCGGGGGATGAACCGAAACCGAGGTATGTGCCCTTGGCTGGAATCGAACCCAGGACTCTTTGGTCCACGGGCCAGTGTTCTAACCACTGAGCAAAACCGGCCAGGGCTCCTTTACTTTTTTCTTCAAAATATTTAGTAATAGATGTTCATTAGCATTATATTACATTTTGAAGATTTAATAAGCATTATATAGAATACTTGATATTTATTTACATAATAGTTAAAACATTAAATCTTTCATTCTGAAGTGATTTTAGGCATACAAAAAAATTACAAAACTAGTAAAAGGAGCTCCCTTTGGCCTTTCAGTCACATTCCTAAAATATTAATGTCTTATAAAGTACAGTTATTGAAACCAGAAACCTGAATTAAGAATTGGGTAACCTTTAAAGTAATATGCTGTAAAACTTCTGAGAGTTAAGGATTCTGGAGTAATTGGGTCATTGTGAATCTTATATTCACTTATTGCGTGAAGATTTTGTGTCAGGGTTGTATGTGGGGTCTGTAATATATTGGCATATAAGCTTTATTTATTTTCTCTTAAATAAAATGATATGTTTGAGTTTATGGTCTAGGATAGTCAAATCTTGAGAAGAGAAATTTAATATATATTTTTGAATGATATAACTTCTGTCTTGTATCCACATAATTTGGCTAATATGTAGTGAGCAAGAAGATGGTGCAAATATACATATATGCTATTGTTGAATTAGTTTGGAGTTTAATTGTGGGAACTTTATAATCAAATATGCATAGTTGACCTTTTATCATTTAGATACTGATTTTATAGGATTTAGGGAGAAATCTGTTTTTACTTAATGCTTGTTTTTTGGTTACTTGACTACAGTATTGTTACTAGAAAAAGAGTGGAAATATGAATTTGGGTTTCCTATTAAGGTTCTTTCTACCCTCCTGGGTATGGATAACAAAAAGTTAGGGGCATAGATGATTAGGTTTATTCAGAAATAGCTTCTAGTATTGTTGGTCCAGGTCGTTTTGGGGGCAGTTCTTTGTACTTTTCTTTCACTCCTACCTAAGAGTGCTTCTTGGGTGCTTTTAACAAACTCCTCAGATGTTAGCACTCAACTGAAGATCTAAAAGTGCTCACCTGGCTAATAAATGAATTAATAACCCCAACTTTTCCTTTCTTCTTCTTTTTTTTTTTATCCTCACCCGAGGACATTTTTCCACTTTTTGTTCAGGTAGAGTGGGAGGGAGAGAGAGGAACAGAGAGAGAGAGAGAGAAACATCGATGTGAAAGGAACACATCGAGTGGCTGCCACCCACACAACCGACCAGGGCTGGGGACAAACTGCAAGGTACATGCCCTTAGCGGGAACCGAACCCGGGTCTCTCAGGACCACAGGCCGACGCTCTAACCGCTGAGCCAAATCGGCCAGGGCCCAACTTTTCCTTTCTGAGGCCTCCTATTTCTGATGTTTCCAAACCTACAGGAGGAGAAAGGAGGCGTATTAGGGAACAGAACCTTAGGAAAACACAGAACTTGTGGGAACAATATTTAGGAAAGAGGATGCCGGACCCGTTAAGAATGAAATATTGTGAGATGTTTCTTACTAATGGCATCTGTAAAAAAACAAAAACAAAAACAAAAAACACTTGATTTTCCTATAGATCCTGTCCTATTTTATTATTATTTTTTAGTCCTCACCTGAGGATATTTATTTATTTATTTATTTATTTATTTATTTTTAAGACAGAGTAGGAGGTAGGGAGAGAGCGAGAGAGAAACATTTATGTGAGAGAGACACATCAACTAGTTGCTTTCTGCATAACCTAACTGGGACTGGGGATTGAACCTGCAACCAAGGTACCTACCGTTGACCAGGAATTGAACCTGTGAGCCAATGCTCTAACCACAGAGAATACTGACCAGGGCGATCATGTCTTATTTTAGAGTTATGTAAAATGTCTTTCCCTGTTTATCTCCATCTGCTAAAACAATGTTTTCAATGATGAAAGTCCACCTAGTTTTAATACTCCCTGTAGATTGCAGCTTAGTGGAACTGAAGACCTCAAGAAATTAACTAACAACTCCTTTATCAGTACTTCTCAAACCTCAGTAAACCCACAGATTGTTTGGGGACCTTTAAAAATGCAGATTCTGATTCAGTAGGTATGGAATTCAGCCAGAGTAGTTCTAACAAACTCCCAGGTGATATACAGATGTTGCTGGCTCATGGATATACTTTGAATAGCAGGATGCGAAGTGACTACTTGTCTACTTGAGATACCCAGACTCTGTTGTCTCCTTTTCCCTCAGCTGATTCCAGGCCTTGATTGTTTGTCAGTAACAGATGTCTTCAGTTTTAGAGATTGATGTTTTTGGGTGGGGAGAAGTGTGTGTGCAACTGAAATAAAGGAACATGAAACAGCTTTATATATATAAATATATATATAATATCACAATATATTTTATATTGCAAATATAATGCTATCTTTTTTTTTAATCCTTACCTGGGGATATGTTTTTATTGATTTTTAGAGAGAGAGGGAAGGGGATGAGAGAGAGAGAGAGAGAGAGAGATCAATGTGAGAGAGAAACATCGATTGGTTACCTCCTAAACATGCTCCCTG